TTTTCTACATTCTCTCAGGGATCAGAATAAAGAATAATAGATTTAAATTATAGAATGTTAGATACTAATTGAATGACTACAGATACTATCAATGACTACAGAAGATCCATTAACAATTAGCAATGACTATCCATCCATTATCTTTGAATGTTAAGTCAGCCATCTGTCAGGGATAGTTATATTCCTGTCAGGAGTTTGGACCTGATGACCTAAATGATCCTTTCTAACTCTTAAGTCTATGATTAGGAAAAGAATCTATGAGATACTTTTCCTAATCATCTATGATTCCAAATCTGTGAAAGAAAAAATGATCTTTCTTTTGCTCTCATTTGTCTCTTCAGCATCTTTATTATAACTAGCATTTAGTACTTCAAAATACAGAAAAGGCTGTTTTGAGGATTCTTCTTGTCAATGGGGGAAAAAAATCTTTCTACCAAACAAGTGTTATAGTTGCTTTCTGTTGCAATGCTGGGTTGCTCCATGGACCCTGATTTCTATATTTTTCTGCAGAGAAATTTTGAAGTCAGAATGGCTGGGAATGTACATTAAGAGGCGCATTCTCATAAATTGGAAGATGAGGATCTTCTACTTAGTTGCAATGCATCTAATGATAGTGTGTTTAATGTTTGGATCATAATTATTCCAGTGGTCTCCCAGACTTCTTAATTAAATCCCAGTGAAAGGCATAGTGTGTGAACTCCTACACTGCTCAGCAAAGCCAGCAGGTACACACTTTACTACTTGTGAGTATAAAGTAAGCTCAAAGAACTCACCCCCAGAACAAAAGTTTAAAATTCTCCAGTGCCCTGAAAATAAAGTAGAAAAACTGAGTTCTTTTTTGCAGAGGAAGAAGAAACAATATGGGAAGTTGCAGAATAGATTTCAGTCCAGCATTTCTGTCTCCTATTGTAATTAACATTGAGAACTAAGAGTACACAGCTGATGCATACTTGATTAAATAGGTATTATTATTATTGTTTCTTTCACCCAACTCTACTCTGATTTAAAGGAAAAATATATTTGAAGGCTATATTTGTCACCTTCCTCAGATATTTACAGTACTTTGCACAAACTTAATTTCAAGCTCTGTTGAAGATCGTATTTAGCTCAATTTCTTTACAAAAATGCATCACTTTAGTTTCTAAGGCAGATGCATAAAGACAGATTTTTGGCTAGGAAAATAGTTTCTTGCTTGGTGCATAAAATTTGGAATAATATTGTTCCTTTTCCGCTTCTCCCTCCTCTAAACCCCACAGTAGAAGTGAGGAATACTGTAGCTACTACTTATATTCTTCACATGCTTCAGTGGGAACAGTTATTTTTTTAAAAAATCAACTTTTAATTAAAAAAGACTGAAATTCATGCATAGAGAATTACTTGCATACACCCAGAGTCATGAATTTATGATGGATGGTTTCCAATCAATCAAATAAATAAATGATTCTTTTATAAGTAGAAACTGGGAGGATGCAAAGGATTAAAATTTCCTGTTAAATAATCCAATTAATGTTAACTCTTCTTCTTCTCCTAGTGGAGGTTGGCAACTGTCAATACTACTTGTCTTTTGATATTCATATCCTGAACAAAATTATATTTTGGTCAAATCAGGCATGTCGATTTTTCAGCCAAAGTATAATATATATTGTTAGCCAGTGGTGCATGTCTCTTGAATCTTTCTTTCCTGGTATAATTAATTGAAATAGTTGATATTCCTCACTGTATATCATGTGACCCAATGATTTCAATTTCCTTTTTTAACTATTATTCACAATTTCCCCATCTTTGCCTATTCTTTAAAGGAACAACTCATTTTGTACACATTTGATCCATTTCAAAGGTTTCTATTCTCCTGATTGCCCCATGCTTCTACTCCATCCAAAAGGACTGGCCATACATAAAAACACGTCTGAATATCAATTGCAAAGAAAACCTTTCTGAATTGGTACATGGCAAAAGCAAACCACCTCCAAAATCTTGTCAAGAAAACCGCAGAGACTTGTCCAGGCAATCACCTGGAATCAATACTAAGGCACCAAATACACAGACACAGATATACAGGCGCACAGACAGATACACACACATACATACAAATAAAAATAAGTAAGTTTACTCTATAGTTAAAAATTGGAGGATAGGAGAATAGGATTTGCAGTGTAAACTAAGTGTAAACATTTAACATCTAGGAATTATACTTTGCGTAAAAATTAATTATAGAGATTTATTTGGTTTCTATTTTCTCTTTGACAAAAATATTCTGGGTTTGACACGCGCTCATAAAGATAATTTAAAATTAAGAGTCAGATTAGCAGTACTGAGGTATTATAATAACATTGCATGAGGCATTCTCATTGCCTCCTCTCTTTAAAAAATTTGCCAATCAGTGTTTTTTAAAGAGAGAAAGAGAGAGGCAATGAGATTGCCTCATGCAATAATACCGTATAGTAGTACAATTAGAGTTCCAGTATCTAGAGTGCAAAAGCAAAATTAAGATGGTGACAAAAAGATAAAGAAAAGTCTAAATCTTTGGTGTCATCTAGTGATCATCCAATTTTTGCAGCCCTTGTGAAATTAATTCATGGAGAAAATCCATCAGGAAGAAAATGACTTGATGGCATATGATCAATCTATCAATTATAATTGAATATTTGAAATAATCAGATGAACCAATACTTTTCATTCAAGGCAGAAAACAACCCAGTTAAAATATAATGTTGTTGTTGTTAGTTGCGAAGTCGTGTCCGACCCATCGCGACCCCATGGACAGCGTTCCTCCAGGCCTTCCTGTCTTCTACCATCTTCTGGAGTCCATTTAAGCTCACGCCTACTGCTTCAGTGACTCCATTCAGCCACCTCATTCTCTGTCGTCCCCTTCTTCTATTCAATCTTTTCCAGCATTAGGCTCCTCTCCAGTGAATCCTTTCTTCTTACTAGATGGCCAAAGTATTTGAGTTTCAACTTCGGGATCTGGCCTTCTAAAGAGCAGTCGGGGTTGCTCTCCTCTAGGACTGACCAGTTTGATCGCCTTGCAGTCCAAGGGACTCGCAGGAGTCTGTTATTTCAGATTTTCCCACTTACAGTTCCAGTTCTTAGACCATTTACTTAAATGAACAAAATAAACAAAATTGCATTGATGTAGACTGCAGTGAGAAGCAACAGAAAGAGAAAAATGATCAAATGAGAAACCACAAGCATTTTAAGAGTTTTAAAGAGCCCTCTAACAATTATTTATACAATTGTATATTTCCCTCATAAGTGAAAAAATATTTTGAGGATATCATTGCTTGTAAAAATTTTGACATACACAATAAAAAAAGTTGTAAGGGACCTTGGAACTCTTCTAGCCCAACCATCTGCTCAAGCAGGAGGCCCTATACCATTCCAGACAACTGGCTGTCCAATCGCTTCTTAAAAACCTCCAGTGATGGAGTACCCACAATTTCTGGAGGCAAGCCATTCAACTGATTAATTGTTCTCTGTGTCAAAAAAAATTCTCCTCAGACTGCACTGGATCTCTCCTTGATCAATTTCCATCCGTTATTTCTTCTCCTACCCTCAGGTTCTTTGGACAATAGGTAGACCCTCTCTTTTCTGTGACAGCCCCTCACCGGGGCGTTATCGTATCACCCCTATTTAGACTAGACATACCCAATTCCTGCAACTATTCATCATATGCTTTAGCCTCCAGTTTAGTTGTTCTTCTCTGCCTTCTTTCTAGAGTCTCAACATTTTTTTTTCTAGTGATAAAAATTGGATGCAATATTCCAAGTGTGGTCTTACCAAAGCAGTATAAAGCTGTACTAATACTTCGTATGACCTTGATACTATCCCTCTGTTGACGCAGTTTAGGACTACATTGGCTTTTTTGGCAGCTACACCATACTGCTAGCTCATATTCAAGTGGCTGTCCTTTAGGACTCCTAGATCCCTTTCATATGGCTAGCTAGTCCCATGCATATTTCTCATCCCTTACAAAAGTCAGTCCCATAAACTTTAAAACTGCTTTCTCTATAATAAGTGCGTATTTCATTGACAGGATGATAAAAGTTCATCATTTTTAAAAAAATCATACTTTGAGTTTACATTTATTTTACATATTGTAAGCTATAACGTTTGTTTGATTTTACTTCGTGTGGGATGCGGACCATGACAACTTGAATACATATGGTACTATTTATATAAGGAACGAACAGGATACGTGCATGTCATTTAAAAAAAAAAATCTAAAGGGAGGCCAATGTCTGTATTACCGCTTTTCGTCACGCACGTCTCCACGCAAACCTCCCACGAAAGGCGCTTATGCAAAGCCCTTTCTTCCAGTCTCTGATTCCCAGCATATCATGCTTTAACTCGGGATGGCCTGCATATTGCATTGCATCTTGGTACATGTAGTCCTAAATAATCCTTCGTTTAAAAAAAGACAAGGGGGCGTGGTCCCACTGCGGCCGCTTCTAGGAAGTGCCTCGTGTGCGTTTTGAAGGCGGGCTGGTGGGTGGTTTCGCTTTCCCGCTTCGAAGCGCTTCGGTGGTGTGGCTTCTGAGGTGGGTGCGTTTTGGGGGCGAGGAAGGAGAAGTTGGGGTTTACGGGGTTTTTCTCGGATTGGAAGAAGGTGAACTCGAATGGCGACGCCATGAGGGAAACTGGTGGAGTTGTTAGCTTAATTCACAAGACAGGCGAAAACAGCACCGCAAAAAGTAGTTAACGTTTTGTTTTGTTTTGTTTTTACCTCAGGCCCAATTCCGCGGCAAGCGTGAGAAAGTTAAGGCACAGACTCTCCCTCCAAAAATTCTTGGAGGAGGACGTTTCTGAGTTAAATTGAGGGGTGGTTTGGGGCGGTCAGGAGAATTGTAACGAAACTTATAGTTTTGCTTGGCGAGAGAACGAGTTGTTAAAACTTTTTTGCCTTCCTCAGCACTGATAGAATCACCTTGATAATATTTGCTTTCCTCTTTCCCTCACATGGTTGCTTTCCCTAAACGAATAAAAGAAAATTTGCTGGAATAAAGTTACGTATTATTTCCTCTCAGAACTTCCATCTTCCCAAGATTATTTTCTCTTAGGTATACATTTAACCCAGCCTACAATTAAATGTTCACACTTATTTCCCCCCCACAAATAAACTGAAACTGGAAAAAGTTATGAAGAAAGGATTTCTGTGAGGAAAACGTGGACACAAACGTTCAGCTAATGGTAAATTAATGGAATATCTCCCTTTTTTAGTAGAACAGCATTTTATGGGGATCAGATATAGCGGTGAATATGCCATGCTTATTAATAGGAAGTGAGCCTCTGCCTGCTACTTCAAGATTAGTATTTCGTCAGCTTTGGAATCAAAGACCACTTGGAATTAACTATCTGAAAAAGAGAAGACCACTAGCTAGCAGCAGATTCCAACACCATGTTCAACTTTTTTATCCTTAGGGAAGAAGCATGTGTTTTCAGATGCATGAGGAAGATAATGTAAAGAGCACTAAACTAGATTGCAGGCTATCCTTGTAATTTACAGTAGTGCCTAAAATTGTGGAAACCTTTTGGGAAAAGTGTATTTTTGAGTTTGATGGCTAATAACACCACTTTGTTTTTGGAGTACCATAAAATTATATATCAGTGGAAAGATAATTTAATCAAGAATGTAATGCAACATAGTTTGTTCAATTATCTGTACTGCATTCTATGAAATGTTATAGCCAAATAACCAGAAAAAGGAAGCACAACTTGCTTAGGTTGATATCAGGTAGCTTTTCTTCATCTGATTGTAGCCAATGAGCATGAGTGTTTGGAGAGCCAAGCAGGTGTCATCTTGTTTTGGCAATGAGTCAATCAGATCACAGTAGGATTCAGTTATTGATGTCATGTATTGAAGCTGAGAGGAGGACATTTGTCAGTGTTATGTGATCACTATCAAGTTGGTTGGGGGGGGGGGTTTCTTTCATTTAACATTAGCTTGTAAAACGTAATAAAATTAAAATAATGGTGCAAAGAGTTGACTGGTTGCCCAGAAAGTGACGTAAAATAGTATTATTAAGTGAAAAAGGCTATAGTTATAAAAAAATTAGAAGAAAAATTGGTGGAAACTTAACCAAAATTGGCATTTCTAATGTACACTTTTCTCAAAAAGTTTCCTTTTTAGCCACTACTGCACATCATCAAATGAACATTTGAACCTGAAGGAGAAACTGCAACATTTGGAGATGTATGTTTGAGTTAATGTAATTAAAACAGCATCTCCAAAAAGTACTGAACAAATATTCCTGAATAGCAAAAACAGAAAACAAGTATGTAAATGAGAATGAATGTAGAACTACAAGTTTTCCCAAACCAATTGACTCAGAAAATAAGCCAAAGTGGGTTTGATTGTGCTGGCAGAGTAATAGGAGAGAAAAAAATGTCTTCTCAATATTAAAAAAAAATCTTTTGAGGAGTGCCTCCAAATTGTAGTTGTAATTGAATATTAAGAATTGTAGAAATTCCTATAATAGTTAAGTACTCATTAATACCAAGCATGCATAACTATTTTGATATATAATTCTCTTACAATAACATGGAATAAATCAAGGGCTGTATTAGAATTTAATACGGGAATGAAATCAGAAGCTAAGATGCTACAGAGTATTGAGTTGATAAAGACAGCGCCCAAATGGGCAGCATTTATAACCCCAGGCAGAGATTTTTGGTCAACATATTAAAATATTGGAACAGAAGACTCTAGGGACTAAATCTAGGACTGCCTAACAGGTTGGATCTATTATCTTGTCTAAATTGTTTCTTAAAATGCTATTATATATAATTGGAAGAGTTAATTGTATTTAAGCTCTATATTATTAGCACATTTTTATTGCTTTTCCCTTATAATTGCAGATTGGATAATGGAAGAATTGATTCACCAAAGATGGTTAAAATATAAAGCATTTGATCTAGAGCATAGTATGAGTTGCAAGAAATCATGCTGAGAATGACAAGAATGACAATTTCTGTACTGTACTCAGTTACTTCAAGGAGTCATTTACTGAAACTTTAGTTAAAACACTGGAATGTTCTGAAGAACTAAAGAAGTAAATTCTTTCTGAAGAAAATGAATTTTTCTCGAGCAGAAAATTCATGCTTTCTGCTTCTCTTGGTAATCTTTCAAATTATATTCGTCTTGATACTTTACCGAGGCAGCAGTTCAGTTTTATTTCAGAGTCATTTAGAAGTGCATAAGTCATTGGACTATTCAAAATCAGAGGATGTCTATATAAATCTTAGCTTATTTACTCCTGCGCCTCATAAGACAACTATGCAGACTTGTAAACCGCAGTCAAACATACTTGGTATGTATAAAATGATATGCACAATACAAGTTAATTTTTTTCTGTCACATTAATTTTGCAGTAAAATTACATGTTTCAGTGGCATTATGAATTTCCAATCTAAATACAAGGCATGTAATATCTGACTTGATCTGAATGGTTTAGTTGGAGATTGTATTCTTTTTATTTATATGCATTATGTGATTTTACTTAACCATGGAAAAATGTGTATACCTAATAATACAATTTGCAGATGACACCAAGCTGGCAGGAATAGCCAACACTCCAGAAGACAGGGTTAAGATACAGAAGGATCTGGACAGACTTGTACACTGGGCTCTATCTAACAAAATGAAATTCAATGGTAAAAAAAGCAAGATTCTACATTTAGGCAAGAAAAAACAAATGCACAGGTATAGTATAGGGCAGGGGTAGGCAACCTGGCTCTTTTATGACTCATGGACTTCAACTCCCTGGCTCAGGAATTCTGGGAGTTGAAGTCCACGAGTCATAAAAGAGCCGAGGTTGCCTAGCCCTGGTATAGGGGTTACCTTGCTCAATAGTAGTAACTGTGAGAGGAACCTCTGAGTCCTAGTGGACAATCACCTAAATATGAGCCAGCAGTGTGCTACAGCTGCCAAAAAGACCAACACGGTGCTAGGCTGCATTAACAGAGGGATAGAATCAAGATCACGTGAAGTGTTAATACCACTTTACAATGCCTCGGTAAGGCCACACTTGGAATACTGCATCCAGTTTTGGTCACCACAATGTAAAAAAGATGTTGAGACTCTAGAAAGAGTACAGAGAAGAGCAACAAAGATGATTAGGGGACTGGAGGCTAAAGCATATAAGGAATGGCTGCTGGAATTGGGTATGTCTAGTTTAATGAAGAGAAGGACGAGGGGTGACATGATAGCAGTGTTCCAATATCTCGGGCTGCCACAAAAAAGAGGGAGTCAAGCTATTTTCCAAGGTGCCTGAAGGCAGGACAAGAAACAACAGGTGGAAACTAATCAAGGAGAGAAGCAACCTAGAACTAAGGAGAAACTTCCTGACAGTGAACAACCTGCCTCCAGAAGCAGTGAATGCTCCAACACTGGAAGTTTTTAAGAAGAGACTAGATAGCCATTTGTGCGAAATGGTATAGAGTTTCCTGCCTGAGCAGGGGGTTGGACTAGATGACCTCCAAGGTACCTTCTAACTTTACTATTATTATTATTAACAATTAAAATCTGGTTTATAATTCCATTATATTTTAAAGAAATATAGATTAAATATGATAGAACTGAAAATTCACATACTTTTGTAAGAAAGCAACTAACTTTTTAATGAGTATACAGATTTTCATAAGAAAAAAATTCAGTTTACAAGAATAACAGTTTGCACTTTTTTATCACCTTTTTCTAATGTGGGCTTCAGAAAAACTTTATATTAACTGCTGCATGGAACAATGTTCTAATTTAGACAAATTTGTATAATTCACCCAAAGAAGACAAATTGGATCTTTGAAAATGGCTTGAGTAACTCATACTTAAAAATAAATTTTAAGAGCTATACTAAAGGATAGGAGAGTTGAGATCCAAAGTTCATATGAACTCCTTGTTTTAATGCTAAAACATTGTTTAATGAAATATTCAAACATAGCCAGTATTTTCTATGAGAGTACATTTAGAAATACTTCTAGAGAGAAAATAATAAACATCATTTTTTTCCAGAAGTGCTAATTTTGAAATGTGAACAAATTTGCTAAGTTTTTCATAATTTTCTTTTTTTCATTTGTCAATCCATATTTTATGCAGTTGGACTGTTAACCATCACCTTTGATACACTACACAGTGAAAAAACAATTATCCACAAAAATCCATATGTCCAATTGGGTGGCTGTTATAGCCCACCTCATTGTCTAGCCCATTACAAAACTGCTATAATTGTACCATGCAGGAAGTGTGAACAGCAATTGCACCAATTTCTCTATTACCTTCATCCCTTTCTCCAACGTCAACAGCTTAGCTATTGTATCTACTTGATTCATCAGGTAAGTCAAACTATTAAGCAAGTCTCTAGTTGAGTACAGATAATATCTTATGATACTGAAAATAATTACGTATAGTTCTATTGACTATCTTAGCAGGCCTGGACAGGCTTCCCCAGCTTCATATTCTGAGTCAATATTATTTGGAAACTGGACAAATCTATAATCCCTTGGGTCATCATTTCAGAGTTTTTTCTATACTAGATTCCTCAAGCCTTCAAGGTGGAGAGCATGTCTTGAAAATTTCTTAAAAATTCAGAGTGGTATTCAGAGACACATCTGCCTTGAAAGTAGCCTACATTGAATATATATTACAGTCAAACTTTAGGAGCTGACAATAGGAAATATTTTGTGACATTTTGTATTATAAAATATTTTTATGTGACAATATTTTATAAAATTTTCCAAATTTTAATTTCATGGGAATCAAGGGCCCTGGATTTTGGACACATTCTGTGAGATAGCCCATTTGAGGTATCTGTTTGGTTGAAACACTTTTGCCTATGGTGTACCATTTCAGTTAAAGGTTATAGATGCAAGAGTTTTAGTAGTATATAGATTCTGAGAAGCCTAAATACATGGGAGGAGTCCTCATGGTAGAAACTGCTCTATATGTTAAAAAAAAAGATGAAATCTCAACAGTGGTAACACTTTTCAAAATATGTTGGAATATATATATTCCAATAAATCAAACAGTTTCTATATCAGTTTGGGAGAAACTATGATTACAACCTTACTCAAATCATTGTATTGATGCTCCTTTGAAATAATGTTCCATTTATATTTTCTGTTAATATGTAATCACAGGAGAATACTGAATAGAAGAGTTCATTTGGAAGTTGCTAGTTTTATTATTTAATTTTAGGGCATTTGGGGCAGTATTTAATTGAATATCAAACATGTATTTTAGAGATATTAAATGAAACCTAATACTTCTATATACTGTATTACAATGGACTCTAATCCAATTTCATGTATAGCTTTAATGCAATACTAAATCCAAGAACCAAGTGGCCTCTAATCTACTGTTATTTATATTATAGATGTTTTATTGATTTTCTATTTTCACAAACAAGTGCTCAATAAACAACGTGATGACTGAGTCTATTAATAATTCAGTGATAAATATAAGTTTTTCCAACCAAGTCTAATGTTACACCCACCAGTACATCCTCTCTTCTTCTGGTAATAACAATTTTTCGCATTAGGCAAATACAATTCTTATTATTGTTAGTAGACATACAATTGCATATCAACATTTATTACATTTTTCTAATGATATCAATAATATCAGTTTAAAATATCTTTCCTACCAAAGCATATCTTAATTGCATTAATCCATATCCTATTTTTGCTTTTTTTTTTTTTCAATTTTAATTTTCCATCCATGCTCAAAGTATCCAATCATTATAATTTCAAAATAAGTTATATTTGGGCAATCAAAAAAAAAATCCCTTATTCAAAGTTCTTAACATATTCTTATTTCCCTTTTCATATCAAGATATAATATTCTGATTATAAATCCTAACTAGTTATGATAATACTTCTATTTCTAGCAATCTATTAACCATATTCAAACCTCTAATCAATAATATAGCATCCCCTCTAATAGGTCAAAGCTTCTGTTTCCTTCAGTCTTACTCTAGCTTTCTTTTGCCCACTAACTTTCCAAGTTAGTGCATTTGGATCATCAAATAATTCTTCCTCTGTTTTTATATATATTATTTGGAACAAGAGAAACAATTTGGTTAAAATGCTTTTGGAAGAGCTAGCTCGTTGATATTCTTCTTTGGTTCCCCACAGTTCTGTTAATGATTTTATCTTCCATTCCGTCAGCTCTCCTTTCTTGTCATCCAGTATGTTCTGAAACCTTGGTTTATAAAATGTCTTTTCCATTTCCAATATTATCGTTATATCCTCTGAGTTTTCATTTATCTGAGTGGTAATTTATTTCCTCCTTTAAATCATCAAGGTTTGAGTCAGCATTCTCTAGTTTTCCTTCTATTTTTGGATTGCTGGTTCCTTCTCTGTAGTTGTCTTCTGATTTGTAGATTTGAGTTAGAAAATTGTTCTTTTATCTCCTTTGTGTTATTGTTCACAAGCTAGAATAATTGTTTTTTTTAATTTGTATTAGTTTCAGCATGGAGAGAATTTCTGTGTTTCATCAATATTTTCTTGGTGATATGGCAAGTTAGGGCTGCTGGGAACAGATATTAAAGATAATGCTTTACTATTTAACGCTGAGTATGAAACATCCATTTTATTTTATTTTTATAAGTAGCCTTTATAGTAGACATGTCAAACTTGCAACGTCGCGCAACATATCGGAACTTTTTCCCCATTGCCTGCAATGGGTTTGTGTGGTTTCCTTATGATGTGTCCGGCCCATGGGCTGGCAGTTTGACATCCCTGTCCGTTCCTGCATCTCTCCTAAGCAGATATAAGTAAAGTTCAAATTTTTCTGTCCAATAAGAAATATATTCTTTCCAGGGGGAAAAAATTAATAATTGAGAGTTGTTTAATAGCCAAAATTTGGAATCCAAAGTATTCCATATATTTTTTCAAAAAAATAAATAAATCCACAGTACAGTTCTGGAAATCAGTATGTATGTTCAAAATTCAGACAGGCCAAGCTTAAAATGTTTATCATCTCTGCCACATAGATAAGCAGCCCCAAGCCGGTTCCTTTTTTTTCACAACTGTAATTTTCAATAATAAAATAGTTCCAAGGCCAGTCAAAACCTTATCTAATTCTGGGTTTCAAGCCAGATCTTTTAGGCATAAATAAGTTGTAGTGCCATGATTTATCACTAGATGTCATCAATGCCACTTTCCAGTTTTTAGATCCAAAACATACTGTATTGTTAAACTTTTCAAGTCTTTTTCTTTAGAAAAAATAAAAAGGTCTTAAAAACACATTTAGTCCCCAAATTTTCAAGCTGTAAGTATATTTTAGTTCCAGTTAAGTCTTATAGGTTTGCCAGTATCCCCAAGTATTAATTTGCCACTTTTCTTTTCTGAGGGAATGGGGCGGAAATTCTCTTTCATCAGGGGTGTGTGCTTTGGGCAGCTTTTCAGGAAGAGGTCTCAAAATCATAAAGAAAGGATCAGGTCTCACCCAGTTTCATCCACATTGCTGTAAAGTTGCTTGTAGTGCTGGTTGACTTCGGTAGTCCGCAGCTTAGGGCTGGCTATACAAATGCGGCCAGGTTTTCCCCCGCCAGTTTGGAGGGCTTCCTCGGATAAAATGGGGGGGGCTGCCACCACCACCCCTGTGATCAACAAGCATCCCCTCCTCACCGCCTCTACAGGGCGACTTTCAACCCTTTCCAGGGTCCCCTAGCGGGACGAAACCAGACATGAAAGATGGAGCCCCATCTTCTTACGCTTGCATCGCCGCAAGATCCCAACCAGAAGTCTAATCTACTGTTATTTAGAAGAGTCATGAAGACCTGGCTCTTTATTCATGACTTCATCAATGGAATCAACTGTGCTTTATTTTTAATGTTTTTTTGTAATTTCTGTTTAATTGTTGGAGCAGCCCAGAGTCGTTGAAAGTCAGGTAGCATACAGATTTAATACATTCTTTTTATTATAGTTTACTGCATAGTTACTAGCTGTTTAGACTAGATTTGGCATTTTATCCATCTATCCCAGTTGGGATAGGTTAAAAAAAATATTTTTATTTTTATTAGTCCTGATGATACTAAGTGTTTGAGTGTTTGATGGTTTTTCTTGTTTCAAATTATATGTCCTTTGCTGTTTTTGTGAACTTGCATTCCTCTTATCTTCCTTCTTATTCTACTTTATCTGCTCATTGTTCAGCCCCTTTATCTTGCATCTGAGTGCTTCTAATAAAGGGTGCTGAAGCTCATTAAGCTTATGGACCTTAGTGAAATTTAGTCAGAAAAACTGCTACTTCTGATTTTTTTTCTGCTTTAGACTGACAGTTCTCCTTTTACTTTGTCTTTCCTCCCTAATCCTTTTCCCAGTAATCAGATTGTATGTTAATCACAAATTTTATCTTCTATGAATATAAGACTAACAAGTTTTCCAATTTTCACAACCACTGATCATCCAATACCAACACAATTCATCTAATCACATCAGAGACTTTTTGTAAAATGAATACAATATAGATATTATGAAGAGTCATTGCTGTCAGACTTCAGTGTTGTTATGTTACTTGATTGAGTGGCATGTTTTCTTTCCAGGCTGGAACTGGTCCATTTAACAGAGCAAAGCTCCTTAATGTTGGTGTCCATGAAGCCATGAAAGACAATGATTGGGACTGTCTGCTTCTACATAATATGGATCTTATTCCAGAAAATGACTATAATCTTTATGTCTGTGACAAATATTATCCCAAACACTTGTCCACTGCTATTGACAAGTTATATTACCGGTAATGTCTTAAGAATATGAAAGTAAATATGAAATAAAATAATCTGACCAAACATTGAATATATTTACTAATTCATTATCTGAGTCATGCATAATGAATAAATATATAGATTTATATGTACACTCAGTTTTTTAAAATTAATTCCAAACCTTTTCATGTTCCATCCAGGACATCTGTTTTCATTTAGATTGAATTTATACATTTTTGACAACATTTTAAACATTTAGGAATTATACTTAAGTAGGGCAGTAGTTATTTTTAAAAAGTTACTGCACGTTATTTTATTTGACACTCAAGCAACGATTTTCAGAAAGCATAGCTACTTTCTAATTTGCAATATTCAGATGCTGAAATATTTTCCTAGTTGCATTTTAAACTCTGATACTAAATGTAATTATTTAGACATCAACCCTATATATCTAAAAGAATTTAAGTATTTCAGAATTATATATAGAATTAGTTTTTAAGTTTATTAAAGTCTTGAAGTTTCCAAACATAATTCTTTCACAATTATTGCATACCTACCTTTTCTCTGGGTTCTATGTCTCTTCTGTTCTATTACCTTAACTACAACAGCTTGTAAAGTATATCTGCCTTAAAGTGATAATTCACCTAAAGCAGGGGTCTTCAAACTTGGCCCTTTTATGACTTGTGGACTTCAACTCCCAGAATTGTTCAGCCAGCATGCCTGACAGGAATTCTGGGAGTTGAAGTCCACAAGTCATAAAAGGGCCAAGTTTGAAGACCTCTGACCTAAAGTCACCTGGTAAGGATTTAAACATGTGTCTTTCAGGTTCCAGTCCAGAATTTTAACTGTTAGAGCACATTGATTTTCCTGTGCTCATTTCTAGTTTAGTACAACAAAAAGAATTGAATAGAATTCAAATTAATGTAATATATTGCACAGGTTTGAAAGGGCTAGAGCAGGGGTAGGCAACCCAAAACACTCAAAGAGCCACTTGAACCTGTTTCCCACCAAAAACAAAACACTGGGAGCCGCAAAACCCTTTTGATATCTAAAATGAAGATAACACTGCATATATCCTTTTTTATCTTTATTATAGGGGTGTGTGTGTGTGTGTGTGTGTGTGTGTGAGAGAGAGAGAGAGAGAGAGAGAGAGAGAGAGAGAGTGTTTGTGTATGTGTGTGTGTGTACACACACACACACACACACACATTAAAAATAAAAGTAAAAATATGACTCTTGGGAATATCCATACTATTAAAACAATGATCACCGAGAGAATGCTTTAAGAGAATAAAATTACATACACACACAGATAAAAAAAGGATATATGCAGTGTTATCTTCATTTTAGATGTCAAAAGGGTCTCTCTCTCTCTGTCTCTCTCCCTCCCTCCCTCTCTGCCCTTGGTCTGCCACTCCTCTTCCCCCACTCTCTTTCTTTCTCTCTTTTTCCTCTCTCTCTCCCCCCCCCCCATCTGCTGCTCACCTGGCAAGCTTCAAGTTGTTCTCCAACAATCTCAGGGGTAGGCAACCTCGTCTCTTTTATGACTCATGGACTTCAACTCCCAGAATTCCTGAGTCAGCCTAGCTGGGCTAGCTAGCTCTCTCCTGCCCTTCCTGCTTCCTGCAGAGACGCAGCAAAGGGAGGAGCTCCCCCCAGAAAGCTTTTCAGCTCCTCGGAGAACAATGTGAGTGCACTCTCTTTTACACATATATACACACACACACACACACAAAACACACACACCCAGACACACACACACACACACAGAGAGAGAGAGAGAGAGAGAGAAGCAGGGAAGTGCAATTGCCTCTCTCTGTCTCTCTCTGCAAAGGCAGAGGAGGCTGGGAGCCACAGGGGAAGGCTCAAAGAGCCGCATGCGGCTCCGGAGCCGCAGGTTGCCGACCTGTGGGCTAGAGTAAAGGGAAAAAAGTAATATCTAAGTGCATTTACTTGTATGGTGAATCCCTGTGGTCTTTGCTTATAAAATCACACACCTTAAGTTTATTTTTCTGTGCAGCCTGCCATATTCATCCTTTTTTGGTGGTGTTACTGCTTTGACCCCAGACCACTACATGAAGATAAATGGATTTCCAAACACATACTGGGAGCGTCTTGATGAAGATGATGACATTGCAGAAAGGTATTTATTTACTGAAATATTATAGTATGTTCAAGCAATAAAGTTGTAAACAAGGCAAATATTGTGGGTGTTAAACAAAAAAGCAATAAAATATCCTTTTTCATCAGTTACTGATAGTGAATATTTATATATGTAGAAAGTATCTTCCAATCAAACAATGCCATTTTAAACCTCTTCCTGAAATTGAAGAAAAATGAAGCTAAGGCCATGATTATATTTTGTATTTGCAACATATTATAAATATTTTTAAAGGCTGAAATGGATCTGAATATCATCACATATTGCCTTGCTTATCTTAGCATTTCAAGTTATTTTCTTAATTCCGTATCAGTCAGATTATAATACAGTAAATAGCTATTCAATTGGAAATTACTAGAATTTTTTAAACAACTTTTTGCCTGTTTTCCCAAAACACTCTTTACATTCCAAAACTTGTATTTCTCTTTGTTTTTTAATCAACCTATAGTACAATAAGCTATGTTGATATTTCATTGGCAAGCTTGTCCATATGTACACAGTACACGTTTTGAAAAATTATCTTTGAGGCCAAAACCTAAGAATCTTGTGATTTTATCACAGTCCAAATGCTAAATTACAAGGTACTGTGCTGCTTTACTTCTATAAGCCTCTGATGCAATAATCTGTATTAGTGATGGGTAATTACACGGGGAAGCTCTCAACTAGAATTCTTAAATCTTATTTAAGAGTCTAATCTGATAGGCATTTTTTAGGATCAATAAATCTGGAATTATTAAGACTGGCTACTGTCCAATATATGAAATGCTTAACTTTATTAATTTTTATTTTATTATTTTAATAAACATTTATGTCCTTGGACAATTTTAAATCATGCAAATGCTGGCACTTTTTTGCTGTGTGTGACTTTATAGTCACATATTTAAACTAAAGCATTCATCACACGCATCTTAATATTTTAGGATAAGCACAATTTCAACAAGTGCTTCTCATAAAAAAATAGACTCACTATATTTTGTTATTTGTTTGTGCCTTTCAGAAGAAACTGCAATTCTACCAAGCATATTCTAACATTCCTGCTGCATATCAGCTGCTACCAAATTATGCCTGTCAGTTGTGATAGTTTTATTATTAACAATCAGTTTTGAACATTAGATTATAAAAGATCTAATACTCATCCACTCAGTATTTAATCTACTTTCCACAATATATCATTTTTTTTCCTTCAGCTAGTTCAAAAGGTGTAATTTAGATTGTCATCCAATAGAATTAAAATATGTGCTCTATGGTAGGTTAGTAAATTAAGTAACTTAAGAGAAGGCCACTGAAAGTTTGCTGCATTTTATTTCAGATGACTGCTTTATACCATTTCTCAGAATAACAAAAACTGCAATATCCTCAAAAGCTTTTGAAGAAAACCTCAAAATGGCTAGTCTGTAAACAAAAGTATATCTATGCCTCCATCTCCACCACTGCAAATGTTCCATATAGATTTTTCCATAAATATTCTAATTGCATTCATAACTTCCTTTTTATAATTTCTTTGCTTGGCTGCTAACATTTATAACATTCTTTTACATTCAGTTCTTTGGATGCCTGTATCATTGCCATACAGATTTTTTAAAATAGTCATTCCAGTAGTCATTTAAGTTTCATTCCGTATCATTTTATCACTTCTATTTCAAATTCTGTTTGTCCTGCTTGGGGTTCTTGATGAACTTTCTTCCTCCATTTCTAAAATAATGCTTTAATTTCTATCAGATTTGCTGCATTTTCATTGCTTGTTTTAATCTTAAACATTCCTTGTTCTGACCTTATTTCACTTTTCTTAAGTATTGTACATAATCTTGTCCTCATCTTTTGCATGTCATTATCATTGATGCATTTTTTATCATCCATAGCTCTTTTTTCATTTACCACTCTATCAAATATCTTTTTTCATTCGTCTCTTTAGTTTCCATAGCACTGGGTTCCAAATAAATGCAGGTATGATTTTAAACCTTCCATGATAAGAGTGGGGTTTTGTACTGATGAAAACGGAAATCCACATGAAACCCAGTTGCAGGGGAAAAAAAAAAAAACCTTCTCAAAGGACTGTTCTAAAGAAAAGTGGTCAGCACTGTAAGAAATATTTAAAACTATAAACTTGTTTTAGCCAGAAAAGAGAGTCGCATTATTTACTGTCTAGAAAGTAGTTGCAATACCTTTTTCAATTGTGCATTTGCCTATTTTCTTATTGTGGAAGCTATGCTCTGAAGTGATTTTTCCCACCATGTTTTATTTTAAAAAGGATCCATATAGCAGGAATGAAAATAATTCAGGTTCCTCTACATGTTGGACGTTACAAAACGATGGGTTATGGGCAAACAGTTAGCCCTTTACTGAGGCTAAAAAGGTGATTGTATTTGTTTTTGTTTTCTTTTCTGGTCAAGTTCTATCGTAATTTTCTCTCCCTTATGTGAAGTATCATTTGTGTATAACACTGCAGATTTCATTCCTATCTGTCACATAATCTATTTTAAATTGAAGTAGTATCATCCTATGCAGTTGATCCAGAATGCAGCGGCATAATTGCTGAGTGGTTAGTCGTGAGTAATCAGAAGCAGCTCCTGGAGCATTGATGTAATATAGTAGATACTACACCAATGCTGCAGGAACTACTCTTATTACCAGTAAATTTGTCAGTATGGTTCAAGTGCTGATCACTACAATTGCTTTGGGACTCACAACTCCATTGCTAAGTTACTTTTTTCATCACTGTCGTAACTTTGAATAGCTTGCCCTCTCAGACAACAGTGACTGTTGGCCTTTCAGAAGCAGGTGAAAATATGGTTCTTCTGGAGGACCTTCAGGGATTAATTTTAAGCAGCAGTATTATATTCAATAAATGTTAATTTATTTTTGACATTTCATTAAATTAAAAATATAATTAAAGTAGTAATATAATTGACTTGTATGTAAGTTCCGTAGGCTACCTAGTCTCCTTTTAAACAATAGATTTTTTAAAAAAGGAATGTTTGTTGCCATTGGCAGGGCTAAATATCAGCAGACAAGAGCTAATATATTTAAGTACAGGCTCCAGTAATATATGTTCTGGAAGCATGGCTTGCGGCTGTATTGGAACTGCCGAACAGAAGTACAGTGTCGATAGTATCTAGAAACTCCTCTCCATCTTATACACGATAAACTGCTTATTACTGGAAGTGAGGAAGAGATATCTGTAAATCTTATCCATATTTCAAAAAATGGTTTCCAATATTCAAAAGCAACAGAACACCAATCACGTAGATTGAAAGTAAACATTTGTTAGTCTATTTAGTTAGAATCAGAGAAGGCTGGCTCTATACCTCCTCTTCCCTCTTCTATAGTCCAGGGTTTTGTATGATAAATTAGAACGTGGAGTATATTCCCAGTTCAAATTGCATCAATGAGGTCTCAGTCAGGATAAATATTTTTCACCCAAATCAAGCTTCTCTGGCTATAATTCACTTTTTTTAATTAGACCAAATGACTGTATGATTGGGGGTCTTACCTACATTACTTCTTAAATTCTGAGAAATATATTTTTGCATAATGGATGCTCTGTTCGTGAAGAACCTCTGATATACAGTATGTCCTTAATAATACTCATTTTTCTTCTTACAAGAATCCTTCTTGAAAATATTACATTGGAAAAGAGTTTCCTTTTGCCTATGCTTGTGTTGTAATACAAGAAACAATTTTCTTTTGTCTTTCTAAAAAGTTAGTAATGAAACATTATTTGATTTGCATTCCTTCTGCAAAATATTCCTGACTTATCTAAACTGGAATCTTGCTTTCCCTAGGCCTGCTGAATTGCATACTTCCCAAACATGGAAAGATGATGGAACAAATTCCCTTGTCTTCAAACTCTTAGAAAAGAAGAAAAAACACCTCTATACACACATTATGGTAGACATTGGAGCCACACCAGCATTACCACCTCCAAGTAGAAGAAAAAGGAATAACACTTGACTTCAGCATCATCTGAACCTTTCAACTCTTCAAGCTTTTTACAAACTAAACTCAACAGGAAAAGAAGGAAGGGAAAGAGAACATTGCTTTTGCATGCATTTAACCAAATAAAGCAGGAGCCTAATACAGGGTACTAAAGAAATCGTATCTGGGGTAGAATGGTTTCGCTTCATTGACATAGAAATATGTAGAAATTACATATTCTATCTTGTTCTGCAGTAAACCGCCAGGAGCTAGAAGCTATAGTTCTGCTATAGGAATTGTCAAGTCCAGCAACAAATTAGTCTATAAACAATTGCAAAATAACTACTGGATCCTGTGCTCTTTTCTAACTTGCACAAGTCTTCTGCATAGTAAATATTAAAAAAAGTTACATTAATGGTATGACCAATTTTTCAGTAATTATATGAATTTGGAATTGACTTACAGGTCTCCTTTTGAAAGGCTTTTCATTAGAAAATTCAGTTTTCTATACACATATTTTAAGAAATCTAATTTTAATTATATTTCAGGGTGTTAATTTTTAAAACATTTTAGTGAATTTTAATAAACATGTTAAGTTTTTGGATGAAATGATTGCTTTTTTAATTAACACATTTCATTGGAGTCTGTTATTTAAAAAAGTTTGATACATTTCTGTAGACAAACTGATGAGACAGAGCAGCTGTTTATGTATTTGCTGTACTAAAAATCGGGAATTAATGGATATGGAGATTTACCCTGTATTATATCCCACATATATAGCTCACTGAATCATCATAGAACCCTTCCTATAGAAAGAGTAGGAAATCTGTAAATATTTAAGCAAGATTGCTGTTTGTTCAAAGCACCAATGTTGAATCTTATTTCCCTCTGTCCATTTGTAAATCTGGAGAAAATAAGGAGTGTTTGCTTTTCAAGCCTATTATGTGGTTTGCTGGTAGCCACCTTGAAAATACAAAAATAATTTGACTTTGGGTGGCTGGAATACTATTGTTCTGGCTCATTTTTTAAAAAATATAGTGAGTGTTCACATTTTTCCATAGGACTAAAGCAATGGTATATGCTTTAATATCAATTTATCTACTTGTGTACTCTATACAAATAAGTTTGGCTGTTATCCTTTAAAAAATGAAAAGCACAGCATAATCAATTTCTTTTAATAATAAATTCTCACACATTCTTTAACAGATATTGGGATAAATATGAAAACAGAAGATAAACAGCTTTTACACTATTCAGTTTTATTTTTTCCTTGTTTAAGAAAAAGAAATTATGTACCACCCCTGTTTAGAATATTGTGAGTAGTTCTTCAGCTGAATGGAAGAAACAAAGACATTTTAAAAAGTTGGGTTGAAAAAAAAGTCTTGCTTCACTGAAAAGTTAATGGTTGAATTGTTCTTACATCTGTTTCAAAAAAATGTTCAGTAGAATTCTTTATAAAGGATTACTTTTATTCAAAGAAAGTCTTTAATTTTCAGCTAATCAATGTTGTCTTGTAGCTCAAAAGGAAATAACTAACAAATCTATGTTTTAAAAACATCCCCTGCGTAAAGAACTTGTTGAGTATCCACCAACAGAAAATGAAATATTTCACTGCTGTAGCTCAAGTCATTACTTTTTTTTTGGTCCATTCATGTAAAATTTATTAGGCATAAGAAATGGTTATGAAAACTTAGTTTGCCTTCCAAAATCCACTGTAATATTTGTATATAAAGGATTGTATTCTTTTGAAAGCAGTTTATAGGAGCATGAATTTAGCCCATCAGTCTTCCATACTCGAGGCACCTGATGCAAGAGATTCATTCTGAAGAGATTTTAAAGTTAGAGGTAGGAGGAAAAAAGAAAAAAAAATAGATCACATTATATAAAGTCATATGTTAAAATGCAGTTCAAGAGACTATGTAAATAAACTTGTTTTTATGCCATCCATTCTCAGATGTACAAAGAATCTCCCAAACATACCAGGAACACAATCCACAGTCTAGTTTTTCCCATCACCAATTATACTCTTCAATGGAATTTGCTTCACAGACACATTTTCTTAACTCACCTCTGGCCATTTGCCTCATTGCCTTGGTCTCTAGTGTGAAAAATCATAGTGTACTTGGCTATACTGGGGGAAGGTCGGATTATCTTCATTTTCTGCATTTCAACCCTGAAAACAAAAATGTGACAATTTGTGAGTAATGAAAAATTGTGAAGTGCAAGCCTTCTGGTAGATCATTAGAGAATATGATGGAGAGCTACCTGGCCATTTTGCTTTGTTGGTAATGACTAGGAAAGCACACATGAAAGCAACTATGACATGATCTCAACATTCCAGTCCTGAAGAGAATTGAAATACAGGCTCCTTCTCAAATTGCACATTTTACTTCCCTTAAATCTAACTATAATGCTATATGAATGAGTGCAGCAAGCCCAGAATAAGCACTACATAAACTCGCACTGAAAAGTGGAAATAGCACAATTTTCATGAATCCCACTTCCTCTCCAAAAGCCCTATGTTGAAGGCAGAAAAGTCCTCTAAATAACTTTCAGCATAACTATCATTCCACTATAAAGTATGTCACTTTTCTGGGTTAATGGATGAAAAGGGGCGTTGGTCTTACCTGAACGCCTTTTCTCAGTACGGAGATGGATAATCCATGATGGGTTTTCTCTGTCTGCCTGCTCTTGAGACCAAGTAGCCAAAGCTTGACACGCCCCCACTTCCTGTGGAGTCCATTCTTAACGAGGGCGAATTGGCTGATGATTGACGAGGTATTGGCTCTCAGCTCCCTACTAGCGGCCTGCTGGCCTTGGGGTGGGTGTGGATTATCCATCTCCGTACTGAGAAAAGGCGTTCAGGTAAGACCAACGCCCCTTCTCCAGTACAGGAGATGGATAATCCACGGATGGGACGTACCAAAGCCTCACTGTCCCAAGGGGTGGGAAACAGATAAGGCCGGTAGATTGATCTCTGAGACAACTTGCTGGAGGACCCTCCTACCAAAGGAGGCGTCCGCCGATGCAAAGCGGTCTATCTTGTAGTGTCGTATAAACGGGGAAGGCGAGGACCATGTCGCGGCCCTGCAAACTTCCTCGATTGACGCCTGGGTAGCCCATGCCGCCGAAGTTGCAGCGCTTCGGGTGGAATGGGCTGTGAGATGACTTGGGGGCGGCAGGGATGATACATTGTAAGCTTCTGCGATACAGCTTCGGATCCACCTTCCAATGGTGCCCGCGGAAACTTTCCGCCCCAAGGTGCCCGCTTGGAAGGACACAAATAGGGCCTCCGATTTGCGGAAGGGTTCTGTACGCTTTATATAACGCCGCAAGGCTCTGCGGACGTCCAATGTATGCCACTGCCGCTCCCGGTCATGTGTTGGATTTGGACAGAAGTTTGGGAGAATTACTTCCTGTGTCCTGTGAAAGAGTGAATTCACCTTCGGTATGAAGGCAGGATCTAACCTAAGGACCACCCTGTCCTTGTGGAAAATGCATAGGTCGTTTCTGACTGACAGTGCGGCCAGTTCCGAAATTCGTCTGGCCGATGTGATGGCAATCAGGAACGCCACCTTTAGCGACAGGTGTCGCAAGGAAACGGTCGCCAATGGTTCAAATGGTGACCGAGTGAGTGCGTGAAGGACTCGCGGTAGTTCCCAGGACGGGTACCTGTGAATTACTGGAGGTCTGGTGTTATAGGCGCCCTTGATAAAGGCGCGGATCCTGGGGTGGTGAGCTAAGGGAACCGAATCCGTGCAGGTGAGGAGGGTGGACAAGGCCGCCACTTGCCTGCGGATGGTCGCGGGGGCGAGGCCTCTGTCTAGTCCCTCCAAGAGGTAATCTACTATCTGAGGGATGTAGAGTTTGTGTAAGTCAAACTGCCGTTCCCTGCACCAAAGGCAAAAAATTTTCCAAGTGGAGTCATAAATGCGGTTTGTTGCCGGACGGCGTGAAGCTTGAATTATGGTAATGGCCCCGGGAGAGAATAGTTCCTGTGCCATTATCTGGCGCTCAAGTGCCAGGCGGTCAGTTGTAACCATTGGGGTTCCGGGTGACTGATGGTTCCCTGGTGTAGGGACACTTGATGAGGGGGAATGTTCCATGGGGGCGACTGAGACAGGTTCATCAGGTCGGCGAACCACGGTCTCTGTGGCCAATATGGTGCTACTAGGATCACTTCTGCCCGCTCCTGAATCAGCTTGCGGATGACCGCCGGTATGAGTGGTAGTGGGGGAAAGGCATAAAGCAGACCCTGAGGCCACTGAGTTCTCAGAGCGTCCGTCCCCTCTGCTCGCGGGTTGAAGTAACGAGAGTAAAATCTGGGGAGCTGGGCATTGTCTGATGATGCGAACAGATCGAGGATCGGGTACCCGAACTTGCGGGAGATGTCTAGGAACAAGTTCGGGTGTAGCCCCCACTCCGAAGGGTCCACTGTGGTGCGGCTTAGGAAGTCCGCTTGCTGGTTGTTGACCCCCGATATGTGTTCCGCTTTTAGTGACTTCAGATTGGGCTCTACCCAGCTGAATAGGAGTCGTGACTCTGTCATCAGGGTTTTTGATCTGGTCCCCCCCTGCCGATTGATGTGCGCCTTGGCTGCTACGTTGTCTGTTAGGACTAGAACGTGGTGGCCTCTGATTCTGTCTTTGAATTGTTGCAAGGCTAGGTGGATAGCCCTGAGTTCTAGCCAGTTGATGTTGTTTCTCAGATCCGTGGCGGACCAACGTCCCTGTACAAACTGGGAGTCCAGATGGGCTCCCCAACCATACAGACTGGCGTCTGTAGTGATGGTAACTCTGACTGGTTCCTTGAAGGGTGACCCCTTGGTCACGGCCCGAGAGCACCACCAGCGTAGCGCCCTGCGGATTTGTGCCGTGACCCTGACTAGGTGGTTGGATGCGCTGGTGTTCTGCCGTTGGTACGGGAGCAGAAACCACTGTAGTTCCCGTAGGTGGAGCCTGGCCCAGGGTACAATGGCTATGGCCGATACCATCTTGCCCAATAATTGGGAAAGTGTTAGTATCGGAACTGAACGTTGCCTGTGAACCCAGCGAGCCAGTTCCCTGATGCCGGCCACCCGGTCTTGGGAGAGATAGACCATACAGTTGGTTGTGTCTATCATGGCCCCCAGATGCAGCAGCCTGGACGAGGGAACTGTCTGGCTCTTCTGAAAGTTTACTGAGAATCCGTGTAATTGGAGGACGCGAATGACGGTCCTTACGTCCGCCTGAGCTGTCTGTAGGGATGTTGCTTGGATTAGTATGTCGTCTAGGTAACATTGGACGCGTATTGGGATTTTTCTCAGTTTGGCGGCTACCGCTGCTAGTATCTTGGTAAATACCCTGGGTGCCGAAGATAGACCGAAGGGGAGAGCTCTGTATTGGAAGTGTTTTCCCCCGTAACAGAAACGTAGGAACCGGCGGTGGTTTGGGTGGATGGGGATGTGAAGGTAGGCTTCCGTGAGGTCTATCGATGCCAGGAAGTCTCCTTCTCTGATGCTTCCCAGGATGGACTGAAGGGATTGCATCTTGAATTTTTTGTATGTGATGTAGCGGTTGAGGTTTTTTAGGTCCAGGATTGCCCTCCATCCTCCTGAAGTCTTTGGAACCACAAAGAGGATGGAGTAAAATCCTCTGCCTCTGTATTCCGCTGGGACCGGTTCTATTGCTTGAATGTCCAACAGGTGTTGGATGGCCTCCTGCATGAGTTTGCGTTTGGTGGGGTTCCTGGAGACCGAGCAGTTGATGAGTCGGTCTGGGGGTGTGACCAGGAACTCCAGGGACAGCCCGGACTGGATGGTTTGTAGTACCCAGTTGTCCGTGGAGGTCTGCTCCCACTGGTGGAAGAAGTGAGCTAGTCTTCCTCCAATGGGTAGGTCTATGTAGGAGTCATTTTGTCTTCCGGTACGGACGACCTGTTCCACGAAAGGGTTGTCTCGACTGGTTTTGTTGTCTGGGCTGGAACCCCGGTCTGTCGTAGGGGCGGCCGTACGGTTTGTTCTGCCTGGGAGTGAATGGCTTGGGTGCCTGACTGATAGGCGTGGTTGTCGGTTGGCGAAACGACTGCCTACGAAAGTAAGGTGTGGTACGTTTGTCTGACCTTTTGTTCAAGTGTGCCATGACCTTCCGCTTGTCTTTGTTCTCTACAAGATAGGGGTCCAAGGCCTCCCCAAACAGACCGTTGCTTGAGTAAGGGGCGGTCGCTAGCCGCCACTTAGCCTTGGTGTCAGCTTGCCAGTGTTTTAGCCATAGCATTCTCCTGGCAATTATGTTGGATGCTATGGATCTGGATGAAAAAATGGCCGATTGGAACGTTGCGTCTGCAGCGTATTCCGTGGCTGCTACCATCTTAGCCAGGTCCTGGTGTGTTCGTATGTCCTCCATAGGAACTATGGTTTGTAGTTGTTGCAACCAGATGAGGGTGGCCCGGACAAAAAAGGAGGCCGAGGTGGCTGCTTTGATGGCCCATGCCGCTGTCTGGTGGGTTTTGCGAAAGGCTTGTTCCCACTTTTTGTCATCTGCCTTAAGGGCCTCCACTAGGTCCCCAGCCATGGCTGTCTGGGAGACCAAGGGGGTCCAGGCTTCATCTACTTTAGGAATTTCTAAGGCCTCATTGAGGTCTGTGGCAGTGCTGTATAATTTTTTGTCCGTACCACTCACTGATGGGAAGGAAGCGGGAGAGTCCCATGGCTTCTTGATCCCTTTCAGGAAAATGGCGGGGCAAGGTATATGGTGTTGCGTTGTCACCTTTTCTACGAATACGGGTCTAGATGTGGTGGCCGGTGTCGCTTGCGGCTGAGAAAACTGATCCGTCCCCATGTCTGCAATGGCTGTGGCCTTGCGTAGTATCGTGAGGAAGCGGTTGGGATTAAATAATCTCCCTGAGGGGGGCTCAGGGGGAAGTTCCTCATCCTCTGACATAGAGATCCCAGGTTGATCCTCCTCTTGTGGTGAAGAATAACCACTCATGGAGGACTGGGCCGGGGAGACGGGTTCCTGAATGCCTGAGGACTCTGAGGGGAGTTCCGAGTGTGGCATGGCTGAGATGGAGGGCCCCTGGTCGTGGTGGGCGGAGCGCTGTGCTAGGGCTCGGTCCACCACTTTGGTTAATAGGGCCTCTAGCCGTCCATCTGCCCAGATGTCCCCTATGTCATTACCTTTGGGTGTGGTGACC